ACACTTTTCTGAAAAATGTTTGAGATTGCATTGAGAACTAGTTCTGTATTTTTCTCTTCTTTTTTTTTTATTTGAATAAGAGTATGTATTTATCATTTCACAATAATTATTTAGAAAATGAAAAAAGGGGGTGTTTCACACTTCAAAGTTCATAAAGTGTTTTTTCACCAATGTAAAAACGTATGAGTATTTGACTAATAGGTCTATACATTGGGGGTATTGTGCCAATTAGGGGGAGAAAAAAATCCGTTCAGCCTGATAACCGTTGTTGACATCCAAACTCCGATCTGGTGAAAACAGTTCGCTAACCCCACCCCAGTTAAAAGTAAGTTCGGTTCACACTCTCAGGTCGGAGTTACCCGCCGTTATCTTAGAAAAACACCATGATTACCCCCTGTCACATCACCCTATCAATCAGTGACACTTGCCACAAGTGACGTCATCGCCGCCCAGAATAGCCAATTCCAAATCCTCGAATTCCAGCCCCTACAAGTCATCATTACTTTGGCAATACATTGGCACATGGCCACCAGCCTCGTTGACCAATCATTGGAGAATTTGCAACCGGAGTTGCGAGCTCGGCACTGTTGCTGATTTGATTGATTTGATGTAATTTCGGCTTAAATATGTATAAATAGTGGAATAGGACCCTTGTGAAAGGAGAGAGAAGAAAACGAATTGAGATAACGACTTATGACACAATTATATCTTTGTGATCTTTTCTAAACACAAATCGCCTTTTTCTTAAAGTTGGTTCAAAATCATCCTTGCTAATTTTGACATCAACAGTTTGGCGCTGAAAGGAGGGCCCTAATTGCTAAAAATAGTTTCATCTGCTCCATAAAAACAAAAATTTTCTTTCAATGGCCATGAGTCATAGCTCAAGTTCCAAAAATCCATCTCATACCCACCCTCATGAAATGAATGTACCACTGGATTTTCCACAACGACAGGACCCTCAAATGATTGCAATGAGGGAAGCCCTAGAAAAATTAACAAATACAATGGGACGAATGGAAAGGAACCAAGCCCATTCGTCCCTACTAGATACGAAGGTGGAATCTCCTGTAAGGACAAAGGCAAAGCGTCCTCCCACCAGGATGACTCTCCACTTTTCAAGAGGAGAATCATCGAAAAGCCAAATCGACAAGGTCAAAAGCAAGGAATCTGAGGCGAGAAGGACTGCAAGTGTGTTCGACATATTGGGGACTCATCACTCGCAACCCTTACGCAAGGACAAACTGACGTGAAA